GTTGAGTAGCCGAACCTGCGAGGCTTTGATGCTGAATGGCGAAGAGGAAGCCGGGGTGGTTGAGGAACCGAACCTGCGAGGCTTGATTGCTGAATGGCGAAGAGGAAGCCGATGTGGTTGAGGAACCGAACCTGCGAGGCTTTGATTGCTGAATGGCGAAGAGGAAGCCGAGGTCCAATGGTAATGATTGTGCCTTGGCTACTGTGCCAATGATTTGATGTTTTGTGCTTGTTTTCGAGGAAAAGTGGCTGAGCCGTTACGACTTCCAAGGCGCTGCTGCCGTCGAATTAAAAATGCAATTATGAGGGTAGCTGGCGCTTCTAGAAGCAGACGCGTTGGAGAGGTGTGTGGGAGGCACGCATAAATCTGAAGCGTAGGATTTAAAAACCGTTTGAATTCAACGACTCGGATTGGATCTGAAATGGAGGGCTCGGATTGACTGAGATTTGATCTGACGGCTGGGGTTCGTCTTGGACCTTTATAAAAGGCGAGAAAATCCCAATTTTCAGGATTTTTGAACACTTTGCACTCTGAAACTCTCTCAAATCTCCAAATTTCCCGGCGTCGAGGTTGACTGTAATATTAAATTCCGGCCAGTCTCCGTTTGTGTCGAATTCCCTTAGGTATTGTTTGCACAAAAACCCTTCTTACTGTCATTTTACTGAGAAAATGGAGTCCACTTCGGGTAGGGAGCTTGTTACAGTGGCGTCTTTAGACTATGGGGTCGGTCACGGGGGGATGTCCGAGGTGGATACGTATGCCATGGCCGAGGAGCCTGTAGATTATACCCAGGAGTGGGGGGCTTCTAGGGTGCCTTCGAATATGACGTGGAAGAGGTTGGGGGAACTTAGGGAGAGGTACAGTGTACCCCACTACATAGAAATGTTAGTCCCTGAGCCAAACGAGCGGGCCTGCTATCTGAGGCCCGGCTGCGTGGCGGTCAGTGAATACTTGTTCAAGGCAGGTATGCTTCTTCCTCTGCACCCCTTCTTTAGGGCGGTGCTTAGGAACTTCATGCTATCGCCGACCCAGGTTCTGCCGAATGGGTGGAGTCAGCTGGTCGGCTCATACTTCCTGTGGAAGGAAGTGTCACTTGGGGAGGACATGCCTCTTCATGTGTTCATGACCTTGTTCCAGCCCCGGGTAATTGAGAAGGAGTCAAGGGGGTGGTACTACCTCACGCCTTGGGGGGCTCACGCACCCTTTGTGGTGGGACTTCCTTCCTCTATCAAGGGATGGAAGGAGTCCTGGTCCTGGGTGCGAGGTAAATGGCAGGCAGTGGAGGGGGACAAAGCCCTGTCATGCACAATGCCGACCCAGTACTACGGAGCTCGTGAGTCTCCCGACCTGTGCTTGTCTTTTGAAGTCAGAATATGAATTCGTCTAACTGTTGGGGGTTCCTTTGCAGATAGTAGTGTGAGGTTCGAGCTTAGCAGGGAGGAATTCGAGGTGATAAAGGACATTTACAAGAGGCCTCTGAAGCTTCGCCACTTCGATCACCTGATTGATAGGAGTAGATACTTTCTGGACTTCGAACTGATGGCATCCAGAGGTACGAAGCCCCAACACTTAAATTTTCCTATCCCTTGTTTTTATACTGATGCTGATCTGACCTATTGTGCAGATAAATTCAAGAAGAGGGAGTACCCAGCTCCAGACATGGCCTCTATCTTGAAGGCCACGTCTACTGTGAAGGCGAGGCCCCTGAAGCCTGGGTCCAACGGGGCAAAGGAAATCTGAGATAGGGTTGAGCGCCTGTCCAAGGACTGTACTCCCAGGGCTTCGGAGGAGGCAACTCCTCAGAGGCCAGAGAAGCCGAAGGAGCCTCGGGGCAAGGAGAAAGTCCCTGAGGAGACTAAGAAGAGGAAGCTGGTGCACATCTCTAGCTCAGCTGGAAAGTTTGGGACCTCAGTCTCCCATAGGGCCGAACAAACTGGTGAGCCGAAGCTTCTTGCTGCAGCCTCCAAAGCCATCAAAATGGAGATGGTTAGAGAGGTAAAGGCTGAAGAGGCTAGAGCAGAGGCCACAAGGCAAGCTGCAGAAGCTGCCGAGGAGGAGGCAGTAAAGGAGAAGCCGGTGCGGGAGAAGGGGAAGTCTCCGAGCTTCCTAGCTGGGAGGGAGGAGGCACTGGCCCCAGCCTTGGTGGAGGCTCTCCCTGAAGAAATCAGAAGTGCCACCGAGAGCTTTTACAAGTTATGGACTGAGAGGTGGCAGCTGCATGCCTCCTCTTGCGATGCCACCGACTTGACAAGGGCATTGGTGAGCCAGAGCGTCCGGACCTTTGGCCTCACGCTCGAATGCAGGGAGGCCTTGAGCGAATTTCAGACAAGGACCCAGGCCTCAGAGGGGAAGACTACCTCCCTCGTAGAGGAGATGAAAGCTGCTAAGGCCGAGGCCGAAGAAGCCAAGACCTAGAGAGTTGAAGAGGCGGCGAAGCTCGAGTCTGCTCTGGCCCAGATTGAGGCCTTAAAGAAGGAAGTGTATGAGTCACAGTGCGCGGTGGCCTCCTTGACAAAGAAGGTGGAGGTTTCGAATGAGCACCAAAAGGTGACTGCTGAGGCCCTTGAGAAGGCGAATCTCTCCTTAGCCGGTGCTCAAGATGCTTATTAGTTTCTCGAAGGCCAGGCGAAGTGGTACATGAACGACGCCTCTGTTGCAAGGGAAGAGGCCCGAACTGCAAAGGAGGAGGCGGTGAAGGAATACATCGCCAATTTCCACGCTACAGAGGAGTATAAGAGCTTCAGTTCGTACTGGAGGAACTTCGCCTATGCCGAAGTGCTGGAGCGAGCAGAGGAGCTGTATCCCAATTTGGACCTGGCTCAACTTAGGTCCGAATTTGTGGATGAGGTACCTCAGACCCCAGCTGAGGAGGTCCAGGGTGATGAAGAAGTTGATGCCGAAGCCCCAAGTGCTGAGGCAAACGAAGCAACATCTGATGCCCAAGTTGCCAAAGCCCCAAGTGCTAAGGCGCCTCCGTCATCTGGCTAGGCATAGACTAGGTTTTACTTTTCAGTATTTTGGATGTAATGTCCAGAGGCCCTCCTTTGTAATCTTCCTTGAAATATCAATATAATGTCTTTCTTCTTTCATTGTTGTTCTTTGTCCAAGTTTTTATACCTCGTTAAACAAATGAACTGGAACTTGATAGAAGCATGAACTAAATAACTTTAACTTTGTGAGCCTCGGACTGAAATAAACGAACATAACTTGAGTGACTGAACTGTGCGAACCTCGGACTTAAGCAAATTAACATGACTTTAGGAGATGAACGGTGTGAACCTCGGACTTAAGCACATTAACATAACTTAAGGAGATGAACTGTGCGAACCTCAGACTTAAAAAAATTAACATGACTTAAAGAGATGAACAGTGTGAACCTCGGACTTAAGCACATTAACATAACTTAAGGAGATGAACTGTGCGAACCTCGGACTTAAGCAAATTAACATAACTTAAGGAGATGAACAGTGCGAACCTCGGACTTGAGCAAATTAACATGACTTAAGGAGATGAACAGTGCGAACCTCGGACTTGAGCACATTAACATAACTTAAGGAGATGAACAGTGCGAACCTCGGACTTGAGCACATTAACATAACTTAAGGAGATGAACTGTGCGAACCTCGGACTTGAGCAAATTAACATGACTTAAGGAGATGAACAGTGTGAACCTCAGACTTAAGCACATTAACATAACTTAAGGAGATGAACTGTGCGAACCTCATACTTAAGCAAATTAACATGACTTAAGGAGATGAACAGTGTGAACCTCGGACTTAAGCACATTAACATAACTTAAGGAGATGAACTGTGTGAGCCTCGGACTGTAGCGGTTGGGGCTTCTCCCCTCGGTGTTCAACAAGGCCAAAGGGAGGCATGTGCTAGTGCCTCGGAGTTCAAGCGAGGTGACCCTGAGGTGGGTCCCGAGCCTCTCCTCCGATGTGACGACACATCCCAGACATGGTGGATGGTGCAGCCATGTTGAGACTTCTCCCATTGGCGTTCAGCAAGGCCAAAAGGAGGCATGTGCTAGCGCCTCGGAGTTCAAGCGAGGTGGCCCTGAGGTGGGTCCCGAGCCTCTCCTCCGAGGTGACGACGCATCCCAGACATGGTGCATGGTGCAGCCATGTTGAGGCTTCTCCCATTGGCGTTCAGCAAGGCCAAAAGGAGGCATGTGCTAGCACCTCGGAGTTCAAGCGAGGTGGCCCCGAGGTGGGTCCCGAGCCTCTCCTCCGAGGTGATGACGCATCCCAGACATGGTGGATGGTGCTGCTATGTTGAGGCTTCTCCCCTTGGCGTTCAGCAAGGCCAAAGGGAGGCATGTGCTAGCGCCTTGGAGTTCAAGTGAGGTGGCCCCGAGGTGGGTCCCGAGCCTCTCCTCCGAGGTGACGACGCATCCCAGACATGGTGGATGGTGCAGCCATGTTGAGACTTCTCCCCTTATCGTTCAGCAAGGCCAAAGGGAGGCATGTGCTAGCACCTCGAAGTTCAAGCGAGGTGGCCCAGAGGTGGGTCCCGAGCCTCTCCTCCGAGGTGACGACGCATCCCAGACATGGTG